GAGTTTTTGGTAGCTACATATGATATTTTAAACCAAAAAAATCCCCATTAAGTTAGTTATTACCATTCTTGGCTACCCAATTTTTAAAGAGAAATATGGTAAAAAAAAGAAAAAAAGGTGATTTTGTCAATGACATGCTAGTATTTTTTATTTTACTCTATATATAAGAGTTTAAATTGTATTAGATTGTTGGTGCAAATAAATTTTATGCTATTATATTATCCAAAGAATATCTAGGTAAGTTTTCTTAAAATATGGAATTAGAAATCTTTTTTTAAAAAAAAAAAAACTTAAAATATGGAATTAGTTGCATTAGCAAAGGGAAATAAGTATGTGGTTGAATCAATAAGCAACGTATTCCTTTATTCCTAACAAAGGTCTCAGATTCAAGATCAAAAACTTGAAATATCTTTGACAATTTTATTTTTTATCCTGGTCCAAAGTAAAACTTTTCCGTATGAATTCAAATTAGTCGAGTGCGAAAACAAATTTCAAATATTTAATGGAAATCAAAAAGTAAAAAAAAAACTTCAACTAGCTAATTATAATCGTCATATTTGACAATAACGTGTTGCTCCGATGGTAAACACTCATCACTTCCAACAATTAAAGTTCAGAGTTTGAGTCACCAAGAAAGTAAATGTGGGAACTCTCGGAGAGGGGTAAAAAAAATCATAATTATTTACTGAACTTTCGACACATATTATATAATTAAAGTTTAATCACTTATACCTGAATTTTAATTATATGTGTATGAATTCAATTATTTTTTATTCGACCTTTAAACATTTTTCCTTAATTATAAATAGAAATACCTTAATTTCAACCACACCGATAACTCCTATGTTGAAAATATAGATTTCCAACAATTTCCTCTGCCTATTAATATCCACGTAATTCACTACTAGAAAATATGAAATTTGTTATAAAATTTATCAATTGTTTCCGGCCGCTGATCCATAGTTAAATAGAGTAGCTAACTAAATGAATTTTTTTTTATAATTCGTCACTTATTCATAGCTAAATGAATTAATATAATTTTTTTGTTATTTAGATACAAAATTTTGCCTCCCTATTTCCTAGTTTTCTAGGAGTGATTCATAGTATTATTCCTATAATAACTTTCTTTTCTTTATCTAACTTTTTAAGAAATCCCATGAACTTACACTCCCACTAATTAATTTGATTGATTGAGTCCATTTAATCAACTATTATCAAAAGAAAAGGCAGACAAGGATTTCCAACTAAGGTTGTCTGTTGTTTAATTTATTTGGAGCAATTGAGGAAAAGATAAAGGTACATTCTTTATTCTTTGTTTACGTTGATTGATAAATAATTGCAAAGGTAACGACACAAAACCAATTAATTAAAGTTCATATATCTTATATTATATAGCAAATACTTTCCATGGTTGCTTCAATTGGTGGGAAAATCAATTTATTACTCTCAAGTAGATGCATGGTGGGTGACGATAGAATCATGATTTTCAATAAGGAATTCAAAATGCGAAAAAATAAATACACAAAGTAATTAAGAAAAGGTTCAATGTCTACTATAAATACATAAAAGTAATTTATCGATATTAAATAGTATAATTTTCTGTCCAAAGAAGTTTGAATAAACCTCATTGATCCCATCTGGCTCCGCGCTCCTGACGAGTGGAATAGACAAATTAAAGGTATATTATGAATTAAGATATTTCATGAAATTAGTTATCCCAGTATAGATATGAGAAACTTATTTCATCATTATAGTACAAATGGTAAGATGAATAATTTCGAAACTAACTAATACTTCTGACTAAACACATAATTAAAAAATAACTATATATGCTATTTCGAAATTATTATCTTTTATCTCTCGTGTTCCCAAAGATCTGTAAAAGTACATGAGAATTTGAATTGATTGATGATTAAATTATTTCCATGGGGACTCATTTAATTTTTCCATGCATAATATTTGACTTGACTATATATTATTGACTCCCGTAAAACACGAAACGTGCTTTATGTCTATTTTTTCATTTTGTCATTTCAAAGACCAAGACTTTTGGGGGTGGGGGTGATTTCTCTATTTCTTTTGAATTTATTTATTATTATTGATAATGATTTGAACATTAAAAAAAATTGTTATATCCATATTCATATTCATATCATAAATAAACTGATGAATTATGAGGAAAAAAGATAATATTTCTTTATTACTCTAGCAGTTCTAGTGTACTACTTAAGTTATATACATTCAAGAGCGTAATAATTGTTTACTCCATCGGAGTAAAAATATATATTTTTTATTTTTTATACCTGACATATTAAAAATCACAAAAAAATTAAAAATAAATGTATACACATCTTTAATTTAAAATCACACCAAAAAAAAGACCATCACACTTTCAAAAAAGAAACATTTATAACACTTTAGACAATTTTCACGTCAAAAATGAAGAGAAAAGTATAAGTAATATATAAGATTATTGAAAAAAACTTTACATGACACTCTTGATTTTTATTTTGAGCTAAATATGAAATTATGTAAGACGAGTTTGGATTATGACATTATATGTAAATTTGTCAATTCTTCTCATAGGTGTAACATACGTATATGGGCGGAGCTAGGGTATCGCGATAAAATAATGGTCTCATTCTATCATGTCTTTTGAGTATTTATATTTTTGAGCTTTGAATATTTGTCTTCTATTTCTACTTCAACTCTCCCTACCAAATTATTGCATTTTTGTGTTTTTTTCCATATATATAGTTCCCTACCTTAATGTCTTTGAATTGGTCTCTAGCCACATAACTTCTTTGAACTTTGTTTCTGACCTAATATATACACATGCCTTTTACTGAAATCTATGTTTTTAACTTTGGATATGTACAAGTAGACGTATGCCTCCTACTTGATTATCTAATTTCTATTTATAAGATCGAGCAATATATGAATAAATAAATATTAAACTCGAGTCTAACAGAAGGATAATTTGTAAGGGTATTTTTTTTCCTTCTTCTTCTTTTAGTTCTTTGATATATTAAGTTTTCCCAATTTCTTGGCGAGTATGTGTGTCACATGTACTTTATATTTCCAATATAATAATAATAATAATAATATGGTTCAAGATTATCAATTAGTAGGTACATATACAACTATATACTATACACTCACTGGAGAATAAATGGTACTAGTACTAGTTATTTTTGTTTCTGTTAAGATATTAGAAAAGGATAAAAATATTGGGAAATTTCCTTTTGATTGATTGGATCAAAGTACAAAGGGTTGATTTCGTGTGAGATCATGTTAATCAAGACTTTTTACATACATCATTACATACTTTAAAATGAAAATTTGTCTTTAGTCTGGAATTCATAACAAATCTTCCTCGCTTCCTCCGCACTCTTCCATGTATATGTTATTTCAGATGCATGCGAATCACATCAGATATATACAAATACATGTATGTAGTGTATATCTACTGTGATTCGCATGTATTTGGGAATTGGGATACATACGAATCTCGTTCGACTCTCTCCCTATTTTTATTTTTATGTATCTAGTAACAAAATGCATGTATCTAAGTGTATTTTCCTCAATATATGGTAGAAAACTCTTAATTAGTGGTAAGATGCGTAATATTTTAAAAATATAAATAATAATCATATATATAGCAGTGAAGTATGTCTAATTAAATTATGTGGTTTTTCCTACTTTTAAAGAGATAAAATTATTAGCTACCAATTTTGGATTTAAAAGATTATAAAAATATATTTCAAAGGATATAAGTTTTTTCTTTAAGCTTAAACTATAGCTACAACCCATAAATATGCAAATTATAGCTTAGGAGCATAATTAAGCTTATATAGTGGCTATTTGTGAAAGTTCCCCTTAAAATGGCTCATACTTGAAGGAGCGATTTTTAGGAAATTTGGCACATATATCGATGTGGGCCAATAATTGGCATAAAACAGCCCAATTCCAATTTTGCTCTCAGTAGCCCAATACCATTTCAAATCACATACTATTATTATCTAGCGGTCAACTAATTTACAAAATATATAAAAAATATAGGAAAAATTACTTAAATACACAACACTTCTTTACCTACTCTCAATATTTCCCTACTCTTTTACTAAAATACAAAAATCCCTTATTTTCCCCCAATTCAACTTAACCGGATACTTTATTAGTTAAAGTATCCGCCCGTTATTAATTAAAGTATCCGCGCTGCTATATTATGCATCCGCCCGTTAATTAAGTATCTGTGCTACTAACAACTTAATAATTTAAGTATCCGCCCGTTATTAATTAAAGTATCTGCGCTGCTATATTATGCATCCGCCCGTTAATAAAGTATCCGTGCGGCTAACAACTTAATAATTTAAGTATCCGCCCGTTATTAATTAAAGTATCCGCGCTGCTATATTAAATATCCACACTGCTATATTATGTATCCGAAAAACACTAAAAAAAGGGATTTTTGGTAATTAATGAAAGAGTAGGGAAAGGAAGTAATTTCTTTCTTATACTATGTCATTTGCCTAATTTTTACAAAAATATATAAGTCATATATATATATATATTAACTAGTTACCCGAACGATATATTTGAACAGAAAGCCCATTTCAAAAAGGCATTTTGTAGCCAAATTCTTCACCCGTTAACAATACATGGTTTTGTCTCTCCTATTATTTCAAAGGAATATTCCTACCATATTTATTAATTTTTTCTGAAATAATCACACATTGTCTCACTAATTAATAATTTCATATCAGATTTCAAGTCAAATACAATATATATATTTGCTATCAATAATCAATCCAAACTTAAACGAATTAGATCAATTATATTTTCATGAATTAATTCTACCACCTCCACCTTCTCCATATTAGGGAGGTGACACAAAAAAAGGAAAAATGAAAGTTTCATGTAACAAAAAATAATTGAAGTGTCATATAATAAGAGAAAATTAAATCACCCCATTAATCAGTACAAAGAAATGATACTTCACATCACAAATTACAAATAAGAGAAAATCCACAAGATATCACTCCATACATAACAAATGTACTTACTATACATAGTGGCTAGCATTACATCCATTTTTATGAACTTGATATAAATCTGCTAATAAAAATAAAATTACATCAATTTTTTTTTAAAATCCTGTTCAAATTAATAGAGAAATCAATTAGCTATAACTTGAAATTAATTAAGGCATGAAAATAATTTAATTACTTTTTCTTCTTGGCTTGTTGCTCCTTGGCCATTTGTTCAAATAGGCTACCATCATAAACACCTCTAACTATATCTTTTTTCAGTAATCCATCCTTATCTTTGCAAAGAAAATATAGAATCTTCCACTCTGACAGAGCAGCAACACTGCATAATTTAATCCACATAAATAGTCAGTGGTATTATTTACTTTTTATAGTTGGTATATAAATTATACACTAAATATACATAGTTATACATAGATTATACATCTGTTGGTTATTTTAAATTTGTGTGATTGAGTGAGCAGCTATTCTGATTAGTTCTCAAAAGAAAATGATACGTATAATCTTTGAACTAAGATGTCTTTTAAGATTTTTATATACCAATTATAGTCTGTTGATTAAACTTTTAAAACCTACTTACTTGGGGGTGGGGGTGGGCTGGGGCCGGGGGGTTTAAAGTTATTTTCGAAAAGAGTGAAGGATAAAAAATAAAAAATATATTCAAAGTATTTTGATCTTTTGAATTTTAACTATCAGGTCTGTGAGTTTTCTATCTAAATCATCACCAAATGTTTATCGAAACCAACCTCAAAATATGAGTTGTTTACTTTTCCTACATGAACGAGGGTGATTGTTCAAGTAGGAAGAAGTGAACAACGGATAATTGAGGTTGATTTCGATAAACATTTGGTGATGATTCAGTTAGAAAACTCACACTTGATAATTTAGGTATGAAATTCAAAAAACTAGGATACAAATTTAGGTGGTTTTTTTTTTTAATCCTTGACTATAATACTTTTAGAGAGTAACAATTTGTGTTTACTAATAGATATTAAACACACCTTTGTCAATATGAATAAGAACAGTGATATGTGTTTGACCAAGATTTCAAAAGTGCTTCGAATTCAGAAAAACATTTATACTATAATTCAAAAACACTCATCTTTTTTTTAAAAGCTTGATCTAACCCCTCAATTTTTGAAATAAACATTTCAAAAATAAAATAAAATTGGTTTCTCATAAACTTTGCCTAACATGCCATTAACCTATAAAAGAAATACATTTAATAATGGGAAAATGGTCAGAAATGCCATCAAACTTTGAGAAAAGGCTCATCTATATCATTCGTTAAAAGTTTGGCTCATCTATGCCATTTTCGTTTGAGAAAAGGCTCATCTATGTCATTATTTATTAACTGAAATGGCATAGATGACTCAAATTTTTAACGGATGAAATAGATGAGCCTTTTCTTAATGTTTGATGACATATTTGAGCCTTTTTTCTTCTAAAAAATAATTTAATTAATGAGCTTTTTTTCAAACGAAAATAGAAACGGAGGAAGTCTTACTGTCCCTTAGAGTCCTTTGGTTGCTTGTTTGCCTTAAGCATATCATCCAATTCTTGGGCTGTTAAGGCGTTTCCATTTGAACGTGCATATTTGTTGAATATCTCTTCGAATTTTTCTTGAACAAACCTTCAACATGAAAAGAAAAAAAGAAAAAAAACAATTTTGAGTTCTACTTTTTAACATTATTAATTAAAATGTTTAATGTAGAAGGACTTGTGACTTAATTAGCTAGGTCATAGGTTCAAATTCTGAACGTGATAAACGAATTTAACTTCGATATTTAAAAAGAAAAGAATAGAGGGATGGATCCATTATTCCGAGGACATGTGTTTACCTTCCTTCACTATCGTAGACCCCACTGTCACTGGTATGTTTGGCAAGTTTGATGTTTTTCACTTCAATAGGAAACAGTAAAGAAGGCCCTTTTCCCTGTATTATTATTTCACATCATACCGTTAAAAATACGCAATAGTAGAAATTTGTGTCTTAAACATATCATATAGTAACATTTTGTGTACCGTTTAATAAAAAATATTATTTTAAATGCATTTGTATATAATCTAGATAAATATATGAGATGTGGAGGGAGTGTGGGTCGGTGTGGATTGGAGATACGGGAGTTTGGGTGGAGTGAAGATGATATGTGTTGAACAAAGATAGGCCATGATATAATTAATGTAGAATGACACTCATGAAATTTATTTTCATTACTTCATGGCTAGGTAAGTAATTTCCTTATTTAAAAAAATAATTATTTTCTTAGAAAAATATTTAATTATTTTTAGACCGATCGAATATGAAAAAATTAAAAATCCCTCTGCAGCAGGTGAGAAGCTTCATCTAACATTAGAAAACACAATAAAATTAAACTTCAAATGAATTAATTAATGACTTAATTGATCAAACACATGCATGCAAGATAAGCTTTCTAATGACATGTTAAGTATTTTATATAATTTAATTTGGCGTATTTACATGTGAATGCAACGTTGGCTAATTGCGCACAACTTGGAGATAAAAAGTAGGAGAATCAATTCATTTAAATAAAAGAGATCTCGATAGAATCATTTCTCGATTTGTTCGTGTCAGAAGCATCTTTTTCTTCTTCTATAAGTTAGAAATACCATATTAATTCTATAAAAAGTTGGTTATATTATTGCTCCACTTTGGCAACATTAGGGTCCATGTCTAACCATGCAAACCACTTCTACAAAAGCATTTTAGAGAATAATAATATATGGATAGACAAAGTTAGAATTTTAATTTAAGTTATGAATTTTATAATGACAATTTTTAGTGATAATAATTGAATTTTAAATTTAATATGTATATATATTAAATAAATTTAATAACATAAATATATTATTTAAGATAAATATACTAAATTTAACCGAATCCCCATATGAACTACTAACTCAACACTTGTTATGAAGTGCATTTTTTATTCAAGAGTAAAGTTAAAGGTAAATTTAGATTTTCTATTTGATGAAGGATTCAATTGACCTTTATGAGTTTTGTTATTAAGCTCATTATATCTATTTTTAAAATTATCGATTCAGATTTAATATATTTCATATAAAAAATAATCAATTCAGATGAATCCGTCATCATCGAAGAGCTATTGTCTTTTCCTTTACTTCTTTTGTACTTCTCCACTAGGATAATGCGTATATGTTTTCTACTTCTTGTCCTATTCTTTTATTTTAATTACCCCCTCCCCCCCCCCCCCGGACCCACTCATTCATGCAAAAAACTATTTTATGACTTCTAATTATATGTCATATTACCTACCATAGTCCTTCAATATAATATTTTTATTAGTTTTATTTCTGTTACGATTTTCAAAATGAGAAGCACTTATTAAATAATAGGAATAGGAAATAATAAAGCGTTCATATTCAAATGTACGAATTATGGAGACACTATATTAAAAATAATCTTCAGCGATAATTAATTAACGACATATATAAATATAGAGAGACTTACCGGTCGAGTTTTTCGGCTAAGGCCAAAATTAATGAAAATAGAGGCAACAAAGGAAAGAAAAATATTACTTCCTATTTTTCGAAAACCTGAAAAATAAAAAATAAATTAGTAAAAAAGTTAAGGGTGATATTCACTTGTCATTAAATGGGTGCTACAAAGTGGATGTAAGATTTTTAAGATTTACTAAATTCTACTCCACATATTAGTACTATTGATTTTATTTATATGTATTCAATTATACAATTATTTTGTACTTTTTTTAGGAGCCACATATTCATTAAATTGAAACAAAAATATCTAGTACTATCAAATTAGTAGGTTGGGTGAATTTAGAAAATGTCAAAATCGATTAAGTTAATCAAAGACGAGTTATTGACTCGCTTAAATGTTACTTGACATGAAATAAATTGGGTTAGAATGAGCGAAAAAAACTAGTTATAGCCCGCTTTATTCTTACCATTTATATTCAAAATTTGATTTCTTATAATTTGTTTGAGTACCTAATAAAAAAAATCCCTTATATTATGACTATATGAAAAATATCTTGTAAAAATAGTTAAACAAATTTTCTCGTTAAGTTAATTTTGAGTTGCATATCAGTCATGTTTAATCTAAGGAGATAAAATGAGCAAATTATTAACCCGCCTAAACCTAAATAAATTAGGCAAATTATGATTTTATAGGTTGATTTCGCCAGCTAATGAAAAAAATAAAAAGTAGTCTAGTAACTCTATAATTCCGGAACTAATTATAAAACCCTATATTTTCATTATACCAAACAACTTCACACTCCAATTTTCCTCCACAAATATTTTCTCCAATTATTTACCACAAATTTTTATTGTCATGGAGAAACACACGATTCCTTTGAGGCTAACAAGAAATGGGACTCTTCTCTCCACTTATTCATGAGCAATGCAAATAGTAAAAATATGTTCGATCTATATGCACAATATAATTTTCAGACAAAGAATGTTCAAATCGATAGATATAGAAAAAATAAAAATACCTTGATAAGTTTCCCAAGGGTAAATAATTCCATTGTTATCGATATCGAAGAACATAACATGTTTTTGTAGAGGAGTTGGTTCGCTCTTCGTAATTTCTGCATGTAAAATTATAATTAGACGAACTATAACTCATCAAATTAATCGATCTCAAATTATATGAAAATTATAAATCATGTAACATGAGAAGAAAAAAAAAAGTTAAATTATTTTGCATACCTTCTTGGTGAATGTTGTTGCAGGAAGCCATATTTAAAAGTTTGGTTATTAGAATATAAAATAATGAATAGAGAAAAGAAGTTATAGAAGAGAGCAATGAGAATATGGAAGGAATAAAGCAAGTATATATAGAAGTTGATGTGTATTATACAACTTGGAGAAGTATACTATATATATAATTATCGCTCCTTCCTTCCAAGGACAGATCCAGGATATCGGGTGCGGATTTTTAGAAATTTCATAATTTTTGGGCAAATTCTATTTTTATATTGAGATTTATTTTCTTCGTCTAATAATAGTTGCAGGTTATACTATTTTGAAATGTCCAACAATACTTGTCCACTTCATGAAATCAATAGATAATTAGAGTTATTTATCTATTACATTTTCAAAACATTTATTATATTCAAAGGATGATATAGTAAAATTACCCTTCTATTTATAGTTTCTTAAAAAGTGTATTAAGTTAAGAAATATGTATTTGTTAGAAATATGTATTGTTAAATGTACAAAGTTAAGAAATATGTATTGTTGGACAGAAGGAGTATTAAATATGTAAGAAATATTTATTAGGAATCTAATAACTTGTTTCAATTTGTTTGTCCTATTTTGATTTGGCATGGAGTTTGAGATGTTTGTTATGTTTGACTTGACATGAATTTTAAGAAAGTAAAGAAGATATTTAAATTTTGTGGTTGGAAATTAAAGATATATCAAATGTACTAAAATATTATTTAATATTCCGATCTTAAACATGTCACGTGAAAATTTAGAATTAGAGAGTTGTCATAAAAAACATTTTTATTGAAATGATTTTTTTTTTTTTTAAAATAGAACAAATAAATTAAAATAGAAAAATATACTCCCTATGTCCTTTTCTAATTGTCCAATTTTGACTTTTTATTTGTCCCTTTTTACTTGTCATTCTTGACAAATCAAGAAAATACAATATGTTTTTTCTATTATACCCTCAATTTATTTAGAGAGTTAATGTTTTGAAAAAAAGGTAAAACCTCTTTAATGAGAAAATTAATTTATCAATTAATAGAAACAAAATGATAAATTCATTGTGTTAATTTTTTTAATAAATGAACTTCAAATTTCGAATAGTTAACAAAAATAATAATTATTGACGAGATATGATGAATGTGTTTTTTGACACAAAGTGTATTATCCGACCCCATTTATTGTAACAAAAAATGACAAGTAGGTCTATTATTTTTTGGAGGAAGAGTTTCGGCCTTTGTTGCCCTTTTAGAGCGAATTTAATTAGCAATTTGACAGGACATAAAGATCTATTCATCAATTTAAATCTCAGAAATGCACGATTGATTGCTTTAATTTAAATTAATCAAATTAATAAATTTCATATATATTTCAAATGGTTAATAAAAATTAATAGGTGGCAGACATGGGTTACAACCTACAATAATAGGTTACGCGTTCGATACACATATTTTGGCTTTGTGCGTTCTAACTCAAAATAATGATAAAGTCAAGGGTGACTTCAAAGCAAAATTGATCGATTATGAGTAAAAAGCAATTATCTTTAGCTCGATCTTCCTTATTAATTATTAATAAGATATAAGGGAAGCATTATCCTTATAAGACTATTGCTAAATAAAAAAAAAATCTTACGTATAAATTCGGTAAAACCAGCAATGCAACTGCGGTCTTTTCTCTCTTTCACATCTGGAATTTAGAATCTTTCTTTATAAAAACTTAATTTTATTTTATTTTCATCTCTTTATTACCTTTTCCCTTTTTTTATATATTAAAAAAAACTTTTGTTGATTTTTTATCATTATTCTAAAAAATATATAGCATGTGTTAGATGCTTTGTTTTATATGTGTGTGTCTCCATGTGTGTACAGTACTTTTAAAAATAATATAAAATATAAGGTGAATATTAATTATTTACATTTTTTATTTGTAACTTAATTCATTGCATTTATAGTGATCTAGTTCTTTGATTTTACATTCTCGTTTATTTTGTAGTACTAGAAATAAGTGCCGTGTAAGCATGAGCCCAATATATATTATTTTATTTATTTTAATTTATGTGGCACGTATTTAAAGAGTTGATCAAATTTTTAAATATTTTAAGTTGTTAATTGTTGTGATTTATAATAATATTAACGTAAATTTCAAATAATATATGTTACTCACTTTTCCTAATTTATGTAGCACATGAGAAACTTTGAGAGTCAATCAATTTTTTAATACTCCATCCGTCTCAATTTATGTGACACTTTTCGGATTTAGAGATTCAAACAAGTTTATCTTTGATCGTGAATTTTTTTTATATATTTTGAATTGTCAATTATTGTGACTTATAATACTTTTTACGTAGTTTACAAATATATAAATTTCATTTCAAAAAATTGAAGATTTCGCACGCAAATTTCCAGTTAAACTTAAATTGTTTGACTCTCGAAAATGGAAAAGTGCCACATAAATTAGGGCAGAGAGAGTATTTTTTTAAATATTGTAAGTTGTAATTAATTATTGTGATTTTTTATTTTATTAATTAATGTTATTTTTAAATAATATATGTTGCTCTGTCGCAGTTTATGTTGCACATGTGAAATTTGGAGAATTAACCAAATTTAATATGTTTTTAAACATATTTTTAAGTTGTTAATTATTGTGATTTATAGTACTCTAAACTTAATTTTCAAATAATATATGTTACTCGCCCTGTCCAAATTAATGTGGCACATGTGAAATTTCGTGAGTTGATCAAATTTTTAATATATATTTTTTTATATTTTATTTTGTTAATTATTACAATTTATAGTATTATTTTTTGTAATTTATAAATACATAACATACTAAAAAGAAAAATAAAGGCAAATAAATTAAAACGAAGAAATTATTAAATATGAATAGAGGACAAGTGCAAATCGGGAGCGACTGACCCTAAACTCTTATATTCGCTTCTATATTATAGAGAGTAATTTATCATGATATATCGAATAATCTATTTCATGTTACTATAAAAAAATATAAAATTTATCTTTGAGTTATACAATTATTCACCATAATTTAATTTAATCATCATCAAGATATTTAGGTAAAAGATAACTCTTTAATTTTCGACCTAATCAATTTATTGTAGAAATTTTCACGATCAATGATTGGACCATGCAAACCGCAAAAAAAAAAAGTACTATAAGATTTTAATATTTGAAAATTGGTAAGTTCTTAGACGATAGAATACTATTTTCTAGTTGAAAGCTACATATATCTTTAATGTATTAAAAGTTAAGAAATATGTATTGTTAAAAATGTACAAAGTTAAGAAATATGTATTGTTGGACAAAAGAAGTATTAAATATGTAAGAAATATTTATTAGGAATCTAATAACTTGTCTCAATTTGTTTGTCCTATTTTGATTTGGCATGGAGTTTGAGATGTTTGTCCTGTTTGACTTGACATGAATTTTAAGAAAGTAAAGAAGATATTTAAATTTTGTGGTTGGAAATTAAAGATATATCAAATGTACTAAAGTATTATTTAATATTCCGATCTTAAACATGTCACGTGAAAATTTAGAATTAGAGAGTTGTCATAAAAAACATTTTTATTGAAATGATTTTTTTTTAAAAAAATAGAACAAATAAATTAAAATAGAAAAATATACTCCCTATGTCCTTTTCTACTTGTCCAATTTTAACTTTTTATTTGTCCCTTTTTACTTGTTATTTTTGACAAATCAAGAAAAAATAATATATTTTCTACCTATTATACCCTCAATTTATTTAGAGAGTTAATGTTTTGAAAAAAAAAGGTAAAACCTCTTTAATGAGAAAATTAATTTATCAATTAATAGAGACAAAATGATAAACTCATTGTGTTAATTTTTTTTTAATAAATGAACTTCAAATTTCGAATAGTTAACAAAAATAATAATTATTGACGAGATATGATGAATGTGTTTTTTGACACAAAGTGTACTATCCGACCCCATTTATTGTAACAAAAAATGACAAGTAGGTCTATTATTTTTTGGAGGAAGAGTTTCAGCCTTTGTTGCCCTTTTAGAGCGAATTTAATTAGCAATTTGACAGGACATAAAGATCTATTCATCAATTTAAATCTCAGAAATACACGATTGATTGCTTCAATTTAAATTAATCAAATTAATAAATTTCATATTTCAAATGGTTAATAAAAATTAATAGGTGGTAGACATGGGCTACAGCCTACAATAATAGGTTACGTGTTCGATACACATGTTTTGACCTTGTGCGTTCATAACTCAAAATAATGATAAAGTCAAGGGTGACTTTAAAGCAAAATTGACCGATTATGTGTAAAAAATAGTTATCTTTAGCTCGATCTTTCTTATTAATTATTAATAAGACATAAGGGAAGTATTATCCTTATAAGACTATTGTTAAATAAATAAATAAAATCTTACGTATAAATTCGGTAAAACCAGCAATGCAACTGCTGCCTTTTCTCTCTTTCACATCTGGAATTTAGAATCTTTCTTTATAAAAACTTAATTTAATTTTCTTTTCATCTCTTTATTACCTTTCCCCTGTTTTTTTTATATATTAAAAAAAAACTTTTGTTGATTTTTTTATCATTATTCTAAAAAATATATATAGCATGTGTTAGACGCTTTGTTTTATATGTGCGTCTCCATCCATGTGTGTATAGTACTTTTAAAAATAATATAAAATATAAGGTGAATATTAATTTTTTACATTTTTATTTGTAGCTTAATTCATTGCATTTATAGTGATCTAGTTCTTTGATTTTACATTCTCGTTTATTTTGTAGTACTAGAAATAAGTGCCGTGTAAGCATAGCCCAATATTATCTTATTTATTTAAATTTATGTGGCACGGATTTAAAGAGTTAATCAAGTTTTTAAATATTTTAAGTTGTTAATTATTGTGATTTATAATATTATTAACGTAAATTTCAAATGCAAAAGTCGTTTTGGCCAGAATAGTAAAATAACATATTTCACACTGTTATTATACCTTTTTGAATATTTTTACCCTTTTAACTTCAATACCTTTTAACTAAAAAATAGAAAAAAGA